ATCAAGTACACAGTTAGCAAAGTTCAATCGGTCATAGGTCACGGATTAGACGAACGGAGTGAATGTTTCCGTATGATGCAATATTATTGATTGATCTCCGCGAGATTAGTATTGACTCGAGATGCCCCTAATTGCAAATACTCGAAAAATAGACAGTTTTAGGTAAAAAAAAGTCTTGTTACCTAACAATTGGGAACCTGTGTCTAGTTTATTGGATCATATGCTCTTTGGACAAAGTCAAACGTCTTAGGTGACCACTACCACAACAAAGAGGCTGTGAGTGAATATGATTCGCACACCTCTTCTTAGTTGGTTTGACCAACTCCCCTAGGTGAACTCCCAGTGGTTCACCGACACGGATGTCAGCTTTTCGTCCTCTGCCTTCGGCGGGAAAACACTTCAGCTATGAGAAGGCATTAAGTAGGGCCTCCTCACAGAGGCTGTTTGAGATGAGTTTCGTGAGGTGCAAAAAAGGGTGACCAGCCGCAACCCAAGACATCCACCACAAACATATTGCGGTTTTTAGAGGCACATTATTTAATACACTTACGAATCTGAATTATCGCTATTTCATGTAACCAGTTTTCTTGCAACGAGAGGAAGAAGCACCACAATCACTGGATTTGTTGAATTTAACTAACTACAAATGATCTCATCAGCTGTGTACATAAATTCAGATTACGTTTAATTGAAAGAGTAATGGTTTTAAGCCGTTTACTACGGTTCGCTAAGGCAGCAGCTGCCATTCGACGTCACAAACCTCATCTGTGCAAACACATTAAATTAGTAGCCAGCCTCGTGCTGCCCCGAGAGGTGTGACTGATTCCCCTTGAAGTGATTACGGCCACTGCCATTTTGCTCAATCCGGTTCGGTTTTATAACTTTTACCCTCCGTGTCGATTGATTTCTCTTTCCTGCGGGTAGCCCATGTTTATTCAGGGAAATTCATTGCTTCGCATCGTGGGTTTTTTAAAAATACGATATATAGGGGAAATGTGAAGAGGACTTTGGTCGAAATCAACATGTATCGGACTATTCCTTATGTAAGCTGTCCATACGTCTGCAGGCGTTGGACACTTTTTTATTCTAAGTGGAAGTGACATCAGTTTGTGCAGCAAAGATCAAACGCTGAGAAAATCTTTTCTTTTAGAATTCACAAGCGAAGTCTTGGGGTAGCGAGAGGCGTGGTCCACATGGCAGCAGGTCACTGGGGTCGATGCCTAGTTGATCGGAGCTTACGTCCTCAAGAGATGGACCATTTCAACCGAGGTGTCCTGAAGTAAGTTTATAAGCCTCTTCTTGGGAAGTCAGAAATCATGGGTTTTTCGTTCCCTTAAATGAGCTATCTGTCTGTTGGTCAACAAGCCGAAAATAAAGTTCAATAATGACTTTTTGCCATCTCCATTTAGTGAAAACTCTTCTGACCGTAAGATGGATGAGCAGAATTTCTTTATTAGACACTTTGACGGAGCATTTTGCTTACAATAACGAGGTAGAGCCCAACCTTGCAGAAACGGGAAATTTTCGAAGTGGAACCGGGAGGAGGGAGGAGTAGGAGACTTCATGGACCTGACAGAGACCAAAAATATTTATGGCGCCAAATTTTGCCTTACGATGACGATAACCCAGTTAAAGTAGGAGCCCACAGGTAGTAACTTTCCGTTCAAACGAAGGGGTAAACTCATGAAGGTTTTTCCCTTGTGTGACCTAGTTGAATGCGGGTTCTTAGCCGCTCGTCTCAAGACCAAAGGCAGATTCTTCACCGCAAAAGAAAATGGACTAACTTTGGAATTGGTGAATCGCAAAGCACTGACCTTAACAGTGTGGTCGCCATGTTTATTCCGTCATAACCAAGAAGCACAGCTTCATGCAACGCAGTATTTCCTGCACTGTAATTTAAAAAGGTAAATGAGAAAATATCTGACTTCAAGTATGAAGGATATTTAAATAATAAAAGAATCGACCATTTATTCCTTCGCTCTTCGATACGTATGTGCGCAACCATAGGCTTTACTACTAACGTTCATCAGAATTGCGCTTCAATAAACAATTACAATTAAAAATTTGGGATCTGATTGATCAAAAACCAGGAGTCCGCGAGATTCAAGCGTTGAATATGCTAAAGATCCAGATCAAATATATCATGTACACTTCCGTTTTTAACTCAGAGAATCGGGTCTACTATGGTAAGTGCGTTCTAGGAAACGAAGGCCTGTTGATCTGCGAATCTCCAACTGATTCGAATCAAGTCAAGTCAAGTCATCAAAAGCTTTATGCACCGAAAATGTGAATTTTCAGCAGTTTACGAGTTTTACAGTGGATAGGTAAAATAATTGTAAACAATAAAATACAGTATGAGAAATTCTGCACTTCAATAAACGAGAGAAAAAATTAGGGTAAGAGATTTTTCCTGAGGTGGGTGAGGATATGCTGACGATTTACTAGTAAACGACCTAGGTAAGGAATTACACTGTTTCGATATGTGGTAGTCCGCGCAGGAAGGAGTTGATATTTGGAGCGTGTCCGCGGAATTCACTGGGCTTTCGCGATATCTTGGTGCAGACAGTGCCCTTGATCATGCGTTATCCTGTCAATGAATGTATCACAAGCG